TGGACATGACTGAGCGACTGAAGTATTATTATAAAACATACATTGGTTTTACTCTTTGTGCTCATTTATTATTAAAGAAAATAATTTAGAAAATGGGAGTGCATTGTTTGATAGAGTAATTTTAAATGGTAGCTTCTGTTAATGGTTTTTATTTATTAGTGTGATACAACTTATAAATATCTGTGCATTCAGTCTTTACTGTGTTCCTCCAAATCTTTTTCTTCTGTAATCTTGGGTTTTTTGTTTGTGTTAGTTTTGTTTTTGGTAGGAGGATGTATAAAGCAATTATCACTACTATATTTTTAACCATTGCCAAGTTGAAACTCAGTGTTTAAGTTTAAAACGAAAGTTAGTGCTATTTAAATGTAGAATTACTAAATATTATAGTTCCCTCTTCTGTCTTTTCTGAGCTACTGCACCATGTTAAATGTTTCAAATTAATTTCAGCAAGTGTTTAAAAATTGCTGGAATTAGAATGTCTGCCACCTAAATCTCTCCTATTTCTGTTGAGTTTGGAATTTGGAATAGTCATTATCAAATGTTATTTGTGGGAAATAGGAAAGATTGGGGGAGAAAGTAAAGGACATAGCGAAGCAGCATACAGACTGTTTCAGGATATAGGAAAACTAAAGAGGTTTCTGCAAGTCAGTGGCATGAAAATAAGGAGTAGGGGAGTTGCTTTCAAGTCAAAGAGATGTATGAAATCTAGAACCACTTATCAAGAGTAATTCTTTTTGGATTCTGTTTAGATCACGTTACCTGAAATAGACATTTTGAGGCAGTCGTGGAAATTTGAGTATTGACTAATATTAGTTAATACCTTGGAAATTTAATTTGATGTGTAATACAGTGATTTTATGATTATATAAGGGAGTGATAAGATTAAAGATGTGTGTGGGTGGGGGAAGAGAGTGACATGATGTCTGGAATTTACCTCATAAAAACATAAAGAATAACAAATATAGCAATATTAATAATATTCTGAAGGTTATGTATTTCTTCTCAAGAAAAAAAAACTACTTAAAACCAGTAATTTGATATGGGCAAGATTAATTTTAGAAACTGTTCTTATGGTCTCTTTTTGTGTTAAAAATATATAATCTTACATTTCTCCTTTTTCTATTAACTGATTTTCTCCCTTTTTCTATGTGTATGTGTTTCAAACTAGATTTTAATGTCTTGTATGAGCATCATAATGATCAGTTATCTACTATGTTTAAAAATATGTTTTAGTTTTTAACATTACTATGAGACACAGGTTATAATCATTGTACTCAATAATCAAGATGACTTCAAGTCGAGTATTAAAAATGACAACAGTGAAAATTCAGAAACTTTTTATATTTGATATTCTAAAATGAGTGTTTTAAAAATGACTGCTTTTTAAAGTTGCTGAAGTCATTCTTATAACCCCAAAGTATAAGCTTTGAAGGAAAAATATAAGCAAGGAGTCTCAACTTTTCTGGATTTCAGGGCCACATTGCACTCTTAGGAATTATTTAGGACCCTAAAGAGCTTTGATTTATTTGGGTTATATTTCTCAATATTTATCCTAGTAGAAAGTAAAACTGAGAAGTTTTAAAAGTACTGTATTAGTTCTTTAAATTCACATTAAAATAATTGTTAATTGTTAATTGGCATGTTCATGAAATTAATACATTTCAGAGGAATTATCCATATTTTCTCCAAGCAAAAAAAGTTAATAAGAAAGATGACATTGTTTTACATTTCTGCAAATATGTCTGGCTTAGTGAAAGACAGTTGAAGTCTCCTATCTACTTCTGCATTCAGTCTGTTAAAATATTACAAACCATGTAGTCTAAGGAAAACTTCCATCATATACTCATGAGAGGTTGAGAGTGAAAGACACAAATAGCATCTTAGTGTCATGAAAATAATTTTGACAGACCATGTGAGAGTCTCAGAGACCACCCCTAAGTCCGTATTTTGAGAACTGCTGGAATAATTTCTCACTGGGCTACTCTATGAGGCAATACAGTCTTCTAAATTAAAGAAAAAAAATTTTAAATATGATAGGATCAATTGAGTGTTTCTGTTCCATATGTTTTACTTTAGGGGAACTATTGAAGTTAGCTGGTGCTTACTTACATATATATACCAATATGTTTGGGCACTGAGGAAGTGTGCCCTGACTTACAGGGTTGTTTGTAGATTTCATGTTACAGCCTACCATGTAGTAGAATGGTCACCTTATTTCTTAGAGAATTAGAAATTAATTCAGTGGTAATAGATTGTTAAAATTTTTAAAACAAGTTTTTGATATTCAGTTACTTGCAGTTAAGGGGGAAAGCACAATTTTAAAATGCAGTCAATTTATTAAAAAGTAGTCATGATGCTCAGCATCATTAGTGAGCAAATACTAATGTTGTTCTACCTCTTGGCAAATAGAGCTATAGCCAGAGATAATTATTAACTCCCCCCCCCCCCCATAAATTGTGTTTCTTTTTCTGATAGTTTGTAAAGCTTTCTCTTTGTTGGTTTGCCTTTTGCCTCCATCAGTATGCAACCTAAGAATCAATAGCACGTTAAATTAGCTCACCTGGAAGGAAAAATAATAAATAATGAAAATAGCACATATTGCTTATATTCTCTTTTAGTTATAAATAGTGTAAGATCCACAGGGTATTGATGGGGAATGAGGGAAATGAAGCACTGCACATCAAGTTATTTCACAAGTAGTAATCTATACTTTCGCATCTTTTATTTCATGGTTTTGTTTAGAAACAACATTGATGCTGAGTAGTTAGTAAAATAACTTACTTTCATTGGCATCATTTGGTGGGGATTTTTATCTGTGCTTGTCTGTAATATTAGTCACAATGATTTATTTAAAGTCTTTGTTAATTAGAAAACGAATGAAAAACCTCTGTTATGGGCATGCTATATATTTGTTGATGATATAAATTGCATGAGGTTTTAACGCTCAATACATTGTTCTAACATTAGGATGATGTATTAATTTTTTTCATTACCTCTCTAAGCTTCCCAATCTCGCATGTTTGCTAGGAGGAGTGCATTAGCAGCAGTGAGACCTTTTTCCCCAGCGTGTCTGACATGCCTCTGAAAATGTGATAGAGGAGAGCTTTAGCTAGATTTTAGAAGTTCTTTTGTTAAATCATGTAAGAAACTTAAACTGATGGTACTTCACATTTTCCATGTAACACGCTCTTTCGATGAATAGCTGTGTAGCAGCAGCACGGGAAAAGCAGGGTTCTTGGCAATCCCAGCTCAATTGCATCTGCAGATGAGGACTTAAAATTCTGTGCAGCAGACAGTACACCCAGCAGGCGAGTAAAAGGTTACTGCATTATTTGCTTGTTTGTTTTCATAGCCTTTATCTACAAAAGGTTTTTTAAAAATGCAGTGTGAAGTGCATGCCTGTTTTTAGATATTCTGGAAATTAATCTAAGTTTATATGAATTTCAAAAGGGCAGAGCAAGGTGAAGGAAGAGGCGATACTAGCTCTTTTTAGATTTAGACCAAAGAAGAAATTGAACGTGAGACATACACAATTGAAGAACCTACATAAAACAGGAAGTTTTTTAATGCTTTTTTTTTACATTAAAAAAATTTAAATACATTTTACAATTTTTAAATACATTTTTAATACAAGATTTTTTTTTTAAAGTTCTTAGACTTCTTCCTCAAAAGGGATGCTGTTAACAAAAACTTATAATTGTGGGTCTATGAATGTTCATTAAGTTATATTTGTTTTGAAGTCTGATTGTTTGGGAAGAAACTATAAAGATTTTTTATTAATGTAACCCTCTCTTGTCCTGGAAATTATAATGTGGATTATAATAACATGGTGTATATACATATATCTTTATGTATTATTGGCAAGAGATCTAGAGCATGGCTAACATACTTAATACTGTTTATGTTTCCAGGGTGGTTTGTGTTTTGTGAATCTTTTTAATGAGATGCAGATAAGCAGGTGGGAGAAGATTCAGTATCAAAGCAACCAGGTTTTTGGTGGCTTATCATCCATTATCAATACCTGTCTATAAAGTCACACACCTTTTCCTTCTCATTTTAACTCTTCTAACATTTATGATAGCAGGGGCCTCCTTGGATTCTCTTTCTTAGTGTTCTATCATTATTGACACCACTGTCTTTGGTATAGTATTTTATTGCTCCTTAATTGTCAAGTTTTAAGTGCAGTATTCAGAAGGGATTTTTTTACTTTGCCTAATCAACCACCATCCTGCCCTCTTCAAGCCATACTCAAAGATTATTATTAGCTACTGTCTAAATTTTGTTTAAAAAATAGTTATGCCTATGTTTTTTTAATTTTAGACTGAATAACAAGATTGAAAACAATCGTATAAATTAATCTATAATACAGAAGTAAAATCAGCTGTTATTCTTACTTTGAGCGTTTGGCAGGCTTCTTGAATCGTAGAGTCAAAGGGTCAGCAGTTCTGATTGGTAAGTTAAAGAATCCGTCCAGTAATTTGCTCCCTGTTGTTTCTCAAAGCAATGCAGCAGCAGTTCTTTTCCAGATATTGAGCGGTTCTTGAACTGAGTGTTTGGGGACAAGCAGGGGTGGGGCTCGTTCCTGTTGGTTGGTGAGACAGTGGGCATTTACAGAGGGAACAGGTTGGATAGGCTGAGCCGGAGGAGTAGGCAAACAGATCTAAACTGATGGAAGACAGAAAGAGTGGTTAGTATAATTTTGGGGTATTTTATCTTGAGTTTGCTCCTTTATTAAGTACTTGGGCTTTAATATAAAACAGTTTGAAATATTAAAGCACCTTACCTTCTTTCTAAGGAGTAGCCGGGAGACTTCTGCTTTTAATATTGAGTTCTTCTTGACAATGAGTTTGTGGCTGGTGTCTTCTGTAGGGAAGCTATTGTTTTATTGTTTTTTAACAGTGTTTCTTTCCGCCAGAGGGCTGCAGAATGAGGCAGTTAGCCAGTTTTGAGTATACACGGGACATTACCAGTTCTGATTTTTTAAGTTAAATTCTTGTCTAATGAACAAGTCAATGTGTGGCTGTGGCTGCAGCGTTGTTTCTTCCTTAATGAAGAGGTTGAGCCGTTCGACCTGCTGCTACAATCTGTTCTCTGCTAGCCATACATCAGACCAGTTGCAGAGATTATCCATCGAATGTCCTAGACAACCTAAGGTAACTACATAGATTTATTTCAAATAAAAATATACAATTAAAATGGATGCCTTATAACTAGGACCAAATAATTAAAAATAAAAGATCAATTAAAGATGTTCTTAGCAGTTTTCTTGACCTTGCAGTAGCTATCCAATATCATTTTGTCATCATCAGATTGTGTAGCAATGGAAATGCACTGCAGTAATTGATTTTGTAATAGGATCAGGTGATTTACTAGCTGCACTGACAACCACTTGCTTGCTCCCTCTGAGCAGTGGGGACTCTAATGGATGTGATTGCAGCCCGGAGTTGCTGTGAGACTGCTGGCCACTTAAAGCAGCAGCATGTCTTTTTAAAATGAGTAGTGAGCTTTTCTGTTTCCTTTGCTTTAAGTTTTGTAAATTTTATACTTAGTTTGAGTGCCCCCATGAAGTTTTAGAGATTAGGTGTTACTTCATCCATCAATTCATCAAAAGTAGCCTTGGATATAATGAAATAAAATCTCTGCTCCCTGCTCGTAGCTGAGCGTCAACATGTGTATCAGCATACTTCGGTATTGATCATGAGAACTCATCTCTAAAATATTACAGTTTATGTTAACCTGTGTCATCTAAGTGAAACAGAATAGTCTTCATTTTTCTAAATTTCATCAGTTTTAATCTCTAGCTGTAATTATGATAATGGCATTGTGGTAAGTTCTTGTCCTAGTGCTTTGTTAGAGTTGTCTGTTCTTCTCTGGTCTTTTGCTTTCTTAGTGTTCTCATAGACGTAACAACATTTGGAAAATCTGGGTTGGACCAACTCTAAGGAACGCTGATGGAAACATAGCAGCTATTTTAAAGTAGTGTTTAAGGATATAAGTATTAGAAACCTGCTATCCAGTTATGAATTTTCAGTGTTTTTATAGTTTAATAATCTTTATTTTCATCTTTTATGCATTTTAAACAATAATTGATTATAAATATAGAAGTATAAGACCGAAGCTTAAAATAGAACTAGTGTTCTGTAAGAGACTTTCAGAAACTGGTGCCTAAGATTTTGACGACATTAAAGTTCCGCTTAGGGCTTTACATGAGGAAAGAAAATTATCTCCCCTCTCTCCATTCCTCACCAACTCGTCTACCTGTCTAACTATCTAACATATGAAGTGTTTTGTACAGAACCTGATATATAGAAGTGTAGAATTCTCTTTCCTTCCCTAATTTACATTATTTAGCCATGTTTTTGTTCTTGCCATGATAGAGATGCTGTTTCTTTCAACCACATCTAAAACATTTATATTAATTAATCAATGTTAGTAATTTGCTATAGAAGAAATTGAGCATAAAATTGCCATTGTATATTATAGTCAAACCTTCCTGGGATGGCTGCTTTTCTTTGTAATGTACTTAAATACTTGCCCTTGAAAGATGAAAATATTTCCAGTATCATTCTGTACTTTATCTGAAATCCAGATACTTAAACGTTTAATTATGGAAGATGGTAATATAATTTAAACACTAGAGTTTATAATCTGTTATTATTCAATGGTAGCAAATTTATTGCCCCCTCCCCCCAAAAAACCTCTATGAACACTGATAACATGAAGATAAGGATGTGAATATCATATGAGATTTCGTCAAAGATATGTTGAACTTTCACATATACTGAAATGTTGAATGGTAGATTACCAACAAATTAATCATTGATATAAGTTTCACTGAAGCGGTATACATTAAACTTTTTTTGCAATGGGGTGAGCAAATAGGAGAAAAGGAAGTGAATACCAAAAGTGTTGACGACTTTTTTAGAATACTAGTTATAAAAGATAGGAGATAAGTGTGATTTGTAATTCAACAGTATTTCATGTAAAATAAATAGGTAACTCACTTAGTGAAGTTCTAACCCTAGTGGAACTGCCTTTTATTAGAGCTCTAGATCAAGCATTAAAAGACTTGGATTTAATTAGACTCCTGTCACTGGTCACCTTGATGACCTTGATCAATTTATACTCGAACATTTTCAAGGTTCCTTAAGCATGCTTTTAAAATGTCCACCAAAAAGAAATGAATTTACTCATTCCAGTGTGAGATATTACAGTACTTGACCTGGAAGCAAGTTGAAGTTAGGAGGAAGGATGAAATTTCTTAATCAGGTTTTAGGTGATATTGATGTTTTTCATGATTTGTTGATGGAGGGGCATGAGGACAGGTACATGCTTTTGCTAAGAACACTTTATCTTCTCAGAATTCAATGGTCTAGATAATTATCCTTGTTTTTAAAAGAAATTTGGGATTCATTTCTAGAGCTGCCAGTTTTTCTTATCCTATCAAAGGTAATGTTGTTAAAGAGTTTGTTTCAGTACCTAGCATATTTTTTATTCATCATTTTTATTTTAAAGGTAGCCTTTGTGTTGCTATTTGTTTTTCCATATATGGCCTATGAGATAAGTTGAACACAGTCCTCTTTGTTTCCTGGGCAAAGTGATTTGTGGGTTGATTGAATTAGGTACGTTTGAAGTGGAGATCATGTCATAATAGTTATGACAAACATTTATTGAACCTTTAACTTGGAGCATATGCTGTGCTAAGCAGTCTTATGTTAATTACGTCATTATGAGATAGATATTTTTATTGTCATTTTTAAAGATGAGGAAACTGAGACTCAGAGGTTATGTAACTTACCTTAAATCACACAACTAGAAAATAGAATCAGTATTTAAACTTATACCTACATATTTTTGTTTTTGGTGATAATTAAAACACCATATTTTGGTATGTTTTCAGAGCATTTGCACTTTGAGTTAAGCAGTGACTGCAGAGATGAAGCCAGGTTTTTATCTAAAGACAGTATATGATTACTTAATATTTATGTCTTGAATAAGAAGAAAGTGATGTATAGTATATTACCCTCTTATTCGGTTATTTGGAATATACTTTTCATTGTTGCAGTAATTATTCATTTAAAGCATTTGTAGTCAGTTTGCAGTAATGTTCCTCAGAGTGTGCTTCAGAGGTCACTTGCGTCTGTGTGGTTCAGGATGGTAGTTAAAAGCACAGTACACAGCAGACCCACCAACAGAACCACTAAAATGGGGTCTAGGGATTTTCAGTGACTTGTATGTGTAGCCAGGTCTTGAGGACACGGGAAGAGGGCCCCTGCTTTACTCTGTCTGCGTGTCAGCTCTCCTTTCTCTAAAGGTAGGTTGCAAACCACAGACCGTTTGTGAAACCGTCTTTCAGGGTTAAAACCGTTTGAGGTGGAATGAGCAATCCCATACATTAGTGGTGAAATAGAAATTGGTAATGTAAATTTTCTGATGGTAGGCTTTTTAAGAACTTGTTAAATTGTTCAGGAGCTTGATTCTTAGTAAGCCTGCTTCTAGGAATTTATTTTAAGGAAATAAGTCAGAAACTTATTTAGGCACAAGATTTAGGCAAACGGATATTCATAGCGGTATCATTTGTAATGGTGAAAAACTGGAAATAATTGAGTTTCAAATATCAGGGAAATGGTTAAAAGTATTTATTACATCTATTTGTTTGGGCTACTATCCAGCCTTAAAATGTCATATTTGGAAAGAATATTGAAGATTAAAAAATAATCATGATTTAATATAAAGTCTCAAAAAAAGAATATGAAATTGTATTTATATGTCCATACATATATAGTTCATATTAAGTTGAACTGCATGAAACTGCCATTTTTGTAGACCTGTTGGTTTAATGTCAGCATTTTCATGGAGTTTAACCTACCATGACATCAGTTTTGAAAATACGTATTTGTTACATATTGTAGTGAGGGAGACTGGAAGCAAATACAACAAATTTATAAAATGATTATCTGGAAGATGATATATAATTTTAAATATTTCTTTACATGCCTCTATTTTTAAAATTTTCTACTAGGTCTTGACCTTTACATAAAGTAAGGCAAAACATGTTTTCTCTTTACTGGTAACAAGTTTAATAAAATTATTAATATAGCTTAACATTGCTACATCAGTTAGGCTTCATCTTTGAAATGTAGGTCCACAAGGGCATTCAGTTCTGTTTAAGACAAATGAAAAATTCTGATCCAAGATGTAGCCTTCTTTATCAGTCCTCTCTACCTAACCCCCTTTTTCTTAAGAAAAAGTAAACATGGGGAAATATTTTCATGGTTTATTTATCTGTACTCACAGCCTGGCCAGATAATTTAGCATTGTAGAATTCCTAGCAGCTCTTGAGGTCATTAACTGGCTTCTACTTGTCCTCTACTACAGTTTTTTCTTCTTTAGGTCATCATATATTGCTAAGGCTCTCTCTGTGAGAGTGCTTGTCCCTAATGGCTTTAAAACAATACTGTGCTGCAGAAAATTCTTTCTGGACCAATGTGACTTTCACATTATACTGACCTCATCCCTTAATGATAAATGAATGAACTAATTCTCAACTACAAAAACATGTTTTGTAGAAAAATAGGCAGTAGTCTCTAGTTGTTTCATTGCTTTGCCATCAATCATGTACGGAACTGTATTTGTGTACATTCAAGTTTATATTTGTATATTACCATGTATAGTAAAGGAAAGGGGCTTTGGAGTTAGGCTGACTTAAATTAAGTCAAATTTAGGTGACTGAGTTTTGGTTATGTGAGGATATTACTAATTAATCTGGTAGGGTATTTTTGAAGATTGAGAGAATTCACTTAAAACATCTAGCACAGGCACAGTGCCTGGCATAAAGCAATAACAAATGTTACGTCCTTTTCTAATGATGAAACTTGAGACTGCAAAGACTTAAGGTTACCTCTGTTTGTAGCAAAAGTCAGGTTCATTGACTACTGTAATTCCCATGCTTAATTCCTATCCTGACTATCATAATTCCTCTACAAGCATATATACATACTCATGGGTGCACACATACATAAAGATTCTCCTACTGATTTAAGGTTTATTCTTCCCTTAATTGATTAATATGTCGTTAGTTTCAAATCTTTTCTAGTCAGGTATTGATGCCATAATGGTAAAAGATTGGTAGGGAAGCTCTTCACTTGATGTA